TTCCTTATTGCCGGCTACAAAAATTGTTTGGTGGGTCGGTTCACTCACAAACACACGTACAGAAGAATTACATCACAAACACAGATACGTAATAGTTTCAGTATATTTGAAAGGTGCCACACCCCTTAAGAGTATGGGATTGCTTTCATGCATCACCATACCAGATACGATTACTCTACCAAGAACACTTCCAGAGATATGGAGTATGAAAAATTCGGTTTATATGGGAGGTGTCACACCCCTTTTTCCAATAGCCCCAATTTCTCTTCATGACTACGAGATTGATGTTATATATCTTCATACCAAGTTCTAGTCCTCTACCATGAACACCCCCAGAGATATGCAGTAGGAAAATTCGGTTTGTATAGGAGGTGTCACGTCCCTTTTTCTTATAGCCCTAATTTTTCTTCTTGACTATGCGATTGATCACTCATTTTTCCCCGTAAAATGTAAACAAATATTGCGTGTATAGCGATTAGCAAATGACAATGTCGTACCTATACGTTACTTTTGAAAAAAATTTCGGGTAAAAAATTCACCCAAAGGCCTTATGCAAGTGTTACACAAATATCTAGTTTCACGAAACCAATTAAGATTTCCAAACTGACTAATAATGCCCATCGGAACCTCTGCTACAGATTTCAGGTTTTCGCATAAGGGGTATAAAATATTTAATTTCCGACGGTTTTCTTTGCTTATTTTTACTTCCACTGAATTAGCTTAAGTCCATCTTGGAAATGTTTGGCCTGAAATGTCCAAAGTAATTTTACACACTTGCTTTGCTCCGCTCTGCAGTGATACAATATTTTCAATTAAGTAGACACAACACCACAGCAAAATTGTAGCACGCGCCTACAATCCTTCTTATTGCGCTTTAAATGAAATTGCTTAAAAATCTCGTCACTAAGTTGACAGCAAAAAAAAAAAATACTCTTGGACTCACGCACTTGTAAGTAAGTTTTTGATGTTTGTTCATATGTCGATTTAATGCCGCCGTGCATTTGGACTTTTAGCTACTTTCTTAGCTAGTGTTCGGCATCCATTTCTTTTATAGCTTTGTTTTTTTTTTGCAAACTGTACTTATGAGCTTAATATGTCAGTGATGAAGTGATCAAAAGCAGCCGAAACAAAACTGAAAAACGTAAACAACAATTAATTTTATCATACTGATATCTTTTTTTTTAATAAAAAAGAAATTGTTTCACAAAACTGCTAAAGTGGATTTTTATAATGGAAAAAAGATTTTTGTTTAAATTAAATTAGTTGCGGCTGATAAAAGCTCTATTCATTTGTAAATCATAATGATTTTTTTTTGTCATTCATATCAAAGCAGAGCAATATATTGGTGATTGTTAAACCAATTTCGCGATTATACATTCATGAGTATAACAAAAAAGAATTCCTTTTTAAAATTATTTATAACAACTTAATTTTTGTTCTTTTAAATTTATTGTCATTATTTGTTTATACATTAAACTGACAATAAGCTCTTTATTATTGACTTCATTTCTTTTGTGCTTGGAAAGCCACAACTATCACTACACAGTGTCATGTCAAACATGAAATTATGCCCCTTTCTACCTTTTATAGCGGATTAGCTACGCTTTTCAATGCTCAAAGTCATAACCAAAGTGAGCAAAGAGAAAATGAGAATAGAAACTGGTCAAAATGAAATGCAAGTGAAGGCCAAAACAAAGTACTTTGTTTTTATATGCCGAAAGGTAAGAAGTCAGCTAAAGAAAAATTACAAAAAGAAAACATAAAATAAATGAAAAAATGAAAATAGAGTAATAAGAAAGTAATGGGTGAAAATATATAGCGTCGACAAACAATAGTAATCATTGTCAGCAACATAACGCCACCAATGCTCGATTTGATTGCAACATATGCCGTTAGAGCAGCGCAGATGACCAAAACAGTTAGTCAGCAAACTCAACAGACGACGATCATCGACCAATCAATCATACAAACTAAATACTTAAAACTCACGTTCACATCGAGCATCGCGCATGGATAATCGCTTGTCTGGCGTTGATACTTCAGTTGCATATTTATTTATACCTACTCATGTACATTAAAATCGCTTAAAAAATAAAAGTCATTCGAGTGAATAAACATTTATGTTTTTATATGCATACATGCATACAGTGAAATTAAAAGATAAAAAAGCCTCAAGTATTAAGCGCCGTGTATTCAGCGTAGAGTTTGGAGTGTGAAGTGTTAAGTGTCAAGTGTTTATTGTCAATTTGTCAAGCTTTCAAGTGTATCTAGCAATTAAATGAAACTTTATACCTCCGAACAGCAAGTGGAAATGGAAGTATGTACATTTGTATGCATTCTTGTATGTCATATGTCCAGTTTTGTAGTCCAAAGCGCAGAATACTCAGAGAAGACGCTTGAAGGTTTCCTTTTTTTTTTGTTTTAATATTTTTCCCTTTTAATTCACAGAACCTTCTTGTGTTACTAGTTCTTTTGCTATAAACTTGCTTTACGGCTTTTTTTTATTTTCTTTACGTGCATATGTATACATATGTATGTATAAATATGTGTAGATAATGAAATTACATTTTTTCTCTCTACTTTATTTTATTTTTTTATTTTCTTCATGACTGTGTGTTTTACGAATACTATATATGTACATACGTTCTACTGCCGCCGCGTTTTTGAATATTCAATGACAACTGCTTTTTTGATAAGTGCGTGGCGAAAGTGGCTAGAGCAACATATGGACATTCTGGATAGAAAGTGAAATTTTAATACGCATAAAAGTTTTGGTTAGTTTTAAGTTCTTTCTCGACACAATTCTTTTACTAGGGGAAAGTGTTTTGGCTGTAGAGTAGGGTGCCGAAATTTATAAGTCACTTTCTGTTTTTGTTGATTTCTTTTTTAGTGTCAAGTTAACAATTGGATAGAAAGTTTTTCGTACAAGGGCATAGTAAATGTTGAGGAAAAAATTGGTTTTACAGTTTACATATGTACCTAATAATGTGATTTAAAAATATCGTAAAATATATATTTTTCTGAAGCTGGCTCACTGATTTCCATTGACAACTAGTTTTCTTAAACTTCTATACTTCGAACTATTAGATGAGGATTCTCGAATCGTCTTAGTTTGGATCAGATACTAAGTTCGAAGTAAAAAAATTGTGACAACACAAATTTGAAATATTTGCAATGAAACGCGATAAAAATCCAATTAGTACTTATATAAACACTTAAGTTTAACTTTAAGGAAACAAACGCTTTTCAATCGAAGGAAATACATTTTGACATTCCACTAAAATTTCAGCGCCTCACAGTCGGGTGCGGCAGAAATTCTAACATATCGTAAACGTTCTTCAAAAGGGTTTTAGCCCAAAATCCGACTTTTGTCAGAAAACTACTATTTTAGGCGTTTTCTGGAATGTAGATATTTGATCCATTATGGGGACCTTTTTGGATATTTTAAATGATAAATTTTGAATTGCACTTACCTTTAACATTTCCAGAAGTTCCGCTAAAAGGTTCGGCGCTTCAAATATACCTTGAGCTCTGAAAAGAAAAACTGACACGGCTGAAAGATTCGTACCTTCTACTAGACGAATTCTGCAACAGCATTGTTGGAAGTTCTTTTAGATGTCGCCTCATCTCATACCCAGAATAAGGCGAGAAGAGGTATCATAGAAAAGACTGTACCAACATCAGAGCAGAAAGGGTATTGATTTATAGGAAGTAGAGAATATACACATAAACGTATGGTAAATTGGTAGACTGATAGTACATATACTCAGGAAGTTATCGGTATTGCTGTATTTTTACCAAGAATGACAAAACATAGCAAACCAAGTTTCCATTTCACAGAAAAACAATTACATATCTATATAAAGATTTACGGCGTTCAAAACGAGCTACTGCTGTAACCAGAACATTGTGATCCTTTCGTTCAGACACAGGTCTGTAATTAAAAAAAAAACACTAATATTTCATAAACTAATACAAAACATGGTGATGGCGTACCTTAATAAGCTAAGAAGCACTCTTGGACAGACCAATCTTGTTTGAGTTCGCAGCATTTCGGAACAAAATTGCTATTGAAAGAAATGCGATTGTCAATAAACTTGCAGAGATCTTCTTCGGCAAAGGGAATGAGTAACACCCTTACTGAATAAAATATCATTGAACTACTATGAGTACCAGGTCACAAGCGGTAAACGAGGTCAGGAAGACAATGGCCTCAACACGAAACCCCCAAAAACGATTGGAGTAAATGATGTTTTTGGAAAAACGTGGCTTACCCCAACGTTTCGAATGAACTTGAAACGTATAAGCAATAGCATCATATCTTATCAATAGAAAAATTTTTCTTATAAAAAGACACAGCAATATATTGTTTTCCATTAACCAAAAAATCGCCCCCTGTAACTGAAGCGCGGTGTAATCATAACATATAGGTCCGAAATTAATGATGAGTTACCAGAGAGAGTGTCTTAGATATCTAACCTTAACAATAATAATAATAGTAGTATTATTTGAAATATTATCCTCCCCTTTAATGCAAAAGCCTTATGTGGATTGTTTATTAGCCATACTCGGGTGTTAATTGAGACTACGCAAAGGAGACAAATACGTCCTTTCTTAATAAACATCTTAAGAAGGGCTATGAAATTAATTTACTTATCGCACACTCTTTTCAAAAGAGGCGCAGCTCAAAAATCATGCGCGGAAATATAACTGCGTTTTCTATTAAGAAAATATAATAATGAAGAAAAACCTATTTGCTTTAGTACAAAATAAAACCCTATGAATTATACTGAATAAATAAATATGCCTAAATTCTGTTTGATTTTTGCCTTTTTCGAAGAGGATATGCGATATGTTCTTCTCCCAGAAAATTTCAAAATTTATTGCAATATAAGATTTTCAAATTCCATCATTGGATTTGAGCTTACTCCATAGTAAATTAAATTTACCTTACAAGAAATTTGCAAAATATCTAAATATTACTTTTTTTCTCTTTTCAGATTACTGCAATTGATAATTAAAACGCTTAAGGAATTTCAGAAGGTAAGTGACGCACTATATGCTACTATTATTCCAACTATATACATTAATGACCATTTTAATTACTTCGCAAATTTTATATCGAATCCAATACTCCACACCTTATTTTAAGAAACATGCCCTTGTGTGTTTTCTTATTCTGATTTTTCTGCACCATTTTTGTTATTTCTTTAGCCACCATTGCGAAATTCCTTTATCATCACTCATATTCCTCTTTCAATCATTATCTGTGTCCAGTAGTGCTCTACTAATTACTAACTCCCAGTCTTTAACACAGCTACCTGCAAGCGATTGATGTGCGAAATAGTTCGAATACTTCGTCACGGCATTTTGTAGCAATTAACATATATTTTTGTGAAATTTCAAACGAAACCGAGAGAACAAAGAAATCAAAAATATTCAACGGCTTTATGAAATACCTTTGTTCTTTCCTTCACCAATTCAAATGATTGTGTTCTATTCTAATAAGCAAACGCGTTAGCGTTACTCACCGAAGCGAGAGAGTGCGCTACGCTAAAACAAAAGACTTAAGCAGCGAACGCGCGCGCGCATTGAAGTGGCAGATTGACCAGCGACTATGTATGTAGTGTGTGTGTGTGTGTGTAATAACTTTGCGCCCAACTAACCAAGCGTAACAAATTTTGCTAACCGCTAATTAAATAAATTAGGGTCTTTGTAGAACAAGAAAAAGCGGAAAGAAACCATAATATTCAATGTTTAAAGTAAATAGAAAATAGTTGAAATACGAAATTTTGGTTTATGGAAAAAATTATCGACCACACACACACACTAGACCGCACACCACACGCCACGGAAGACAGCAATTTACGCGCAACTACTGACCCAATAAATCTAATTGTTTTGGAATTTTGAGAAATACTAAAAATACCGGAACGTAGTGGCATTTAAGAAACACAGTACAGTAGGCATATGGTATGCCATTAAATTGCATTTTAGATATCAAATATTTGAAATTATTATGATAAATCGGACAGAAAGTTAACAGTTGTGATGTGTTGCGTGATTGATGATGCTATCGCAAACTATGTATAATATATTAATTGCAAGCCACACACAAAGCTTCACGCTGGCAAGTGTGTAAATGTGTCTCGAGCATAAACTTCACTTTCACAAGCGCCACGCTGACGCAAGCCATGTGACTGGTCAGCAGCTGCAACAGCTATTAGATTAATGCTAAGATGTGATGGTCTTCGTTTCGCTTTTCACTACCTTATTGCCTTATGTATGATAATTTGTCTCTTTGTCAGGCTTTCATCGGTAGCTCATTTAGTTGTAAATATTTATGCCTGCACATTTATCAACGCTTCCAATCAATTAATTTGTCTGCAATGTGATGATAAATGTGGCATATGAGTAAATGGCATTTAAAAAAAAATTAATATCTATTACGAGAAAGTCGTAAAACAATACGCACATTAACGCTGGTGCAATACTATGCGTAATTGCTCACAGATGGTTGCATATACATATGTAGGAGTATGTATGTAGATATTAAATATGTACATAGGATATTCAGACAACACACCGCGGTGTGATTAATTTCTAAAAAAAAAGTGGAAATAGAAAGTGTTAATTATGTAGTTTTTGCATATATCAATACATTTGATTCTTCTGTTTTGTCACTTAAAATATTTCTTTCCATTTCTATTGCTTTTATGGCTAAAATTATCGCTCTTATGACTATTTTAATTACGATTACCATTACAATTACAATTACCATTTCATTTAACATAACTTTTACAATTACCATTCTAATTGCCATTACCATTATCGTTACAACACTATCATTACCATTAATATTAACATTACAAGTACAATTATCATAACCCTTAACAATACAACTACCATTCCCATTGCCACAAACATTAATAATATCAGTACTAAGATCCAATACGATTACGGTTACCACTGGAAACCATTCTCGGTACTCCATTAATATTACCATTATAATCATCTACCATTACCATCATCACTGTTACTAATACCATTATCCTTAACATCAATATTACCAACACAAGTACAATTATCATAACACTTACTACATTACCGTTAAAATTAAAAATACCCTTGCCATTACCATTACTATTAACATTACCATTATCATTACAACAATTATTGCTGTTGCCATAACCATTATCATTACCCTTAAATTTACTAGTACAAAGCAAGATTACGAAGCCCATTAGATACCATTATCACTGAAAAACATTACCATTACCATAAACTGTTTTAATTGTTATCTCTTGTTTCACGTTGAAAAATTTGAAGACTTTAAAACAATTTGCGAAGTTATGCTGAAGTATTTGTGAACTCATTATTCGCTATTGCAGCTCATTATTCGTTACCATTTTTTGATTTTCGATAAAAAAATAACCCACTCTCCCTCATCGGAATGCCTCCGTGCTCCTAACGCACCACTTCTGTGCAATAAATGCGTAATTAGCACTTACCCACTGCGTTTCTTCCCCACTCACTGATTGCTTTTCTTGTGGCATGCTGATTTAATCCAGATGCAAATATTCACTTTCTTGCGATATCTAATGCGATTTAAATACGCTTGACGGTTGTGATTGTGCCGCAGGCGCAGCAACAATCAACCATAGCAGTAATAAATGGTTATAAACGAGATCTAGTCAACAAGCGGCAATAAGAGTTGATTCTCTAACAAGATTTACTATGTGCCAACAAGGTAAGTATAAAACTGTAGCTGGAAATGCAATAAAATGAGCTAACAATTTCTTTGCCGAGAAGTGACAGCAAATGTTCACCTAATTTTAGTGATTACTACAAATATATATGCTTTAAATTTTAGCATAAAAATGAAAGTTGCTCGCTCACGCCGAACCGCTGCACGCAAAAATGTAATAAACAAAATACGCATGTCTTTATTGATTTGCTTCAGTTACTTAGCCATCGTTGGTTGCAATGGTGCGAAGTGCAAAGTAATTGAAGTAGATATTGTCACAAATACACAAAAGTGGAATTCGGGGAAATTTATTGCTTTGTGGTAAATTTTTCACTAGCAAATTAGCACCGAATAAAAAATGCAACAGTGAGAGATTGATAATTTACAATTTACAATTTTTTTATTGAATGGCCTGTCAAGCTTATCTGCCAAATCTAGAATAGAAATATTCAAATGCTAGTGAATAACTCAGTGAGAGGGGAGACCAGTATTTGCATGTATGTATTTATAAAAAAAAATATTTATTGGTTCAAAAATGGTGGGTAGGCACTGTGGCCAATGGCAAAGTTCGTTTGCCACCTCTGCATGGTTTTAAGTCATGCAGAGTCCGCAATATGCTCCGGAAGCAGTGTCCGGAGGATGCATCAGACTAGGCCGAGCATAC